GTCCGTGTCCCATTCACAGTCCGTGTCCTACTCACAGTCCGTGTCCTACTCACAGTCCGTGTCCCATTCACAGTACGTGTCCCATTCACAGTACGTGTCCCATTCACAGTACGTGTCCCATTCACAGTACGTGTCCCATTCACAGTACGTGTCCTACTCACAGTCCGTGTCCTACTCACAGTCCGTGTCCTACTCACAGTCCGTGTCCCATTCACAGTCCGTGTCCTACTCACAGTCCGTGTCCTACTCACAGTCCGTGTCCCATTCACAGTCCGTGTCCCATTCACAGTCCGTGTCCTACTCACAGTCCGTGTCCTACTCACAGTCCGTGTCCCATTCACAGTCCGCGTCCTACTCACAGTCCGTGTCCTACTCACAGTCCGTGTCCCATTCACAGTACGTGTCCCATTCACAGTACGTGTCCCATTCACAGTACGTGTCCCATTCACAGTACGTGTCCCATTCACAGTACGTGTCCTACTCACAGTCCGTGTCCCACTCACAGTCCGTGTCCCATTCACAGTCCGTGTCCCACTCATAGTCCGTGTCCCACTCACAGTCCGTGTCCCATTCACAGTACGTGTCCCATTCACAGTACGTGTCCTACTCACAGTCCGTGTCCCATTCACAGTCCGTGTCCCATTCACAGTCCGTGTCCTACTCACAGTCCGTGTCCCACTCACAGTCCGTGTCCCACTCACAGTCCGTGTCCCACTCACAGTCCGTGTCCTACTCACAGTCCGTGTCCCACTCACAGTCCGTGTCCTACTCACAGTCCGTATCCTACTCACAGTCCGTGTCCCATTCACAGTCCGTGTCCTACTCACAGTCCGTATCCTACTCACAGTCCGTGTCCCATTCACAGTCCGTATCCTACTCACAGTCCGTGTCCCACTCACAGTCCGTGTCCCATTCACAGTCCGTGTCCTACTCACAGTCCGTATCCTACTCACAGTCCGTGTCCCATTCACAGTCCGTATCCTACTCACAGTCCGTGTCCCACTCACAGTCCGTGTCCTACTCACAGTCCGTATCCTACTCACAGTCCGTGTCCCATTCACAGTCCGTGTCCTACTCACAGTCCGTATCCTACTCACAGTCCGTGTCCCATTCACAGTCCGTATCCTACTCACAGTCCGTGTCCCACTCACAGTCCGTGTCCCACTCACAGTCCGTGTCCCACTCACAACCCTTATTCTAGCCTGGGTCCTTCCCCTCATCAGAATTACTCAGCCCTGATACACACACTGACACACACACACACACACACACACACACACACACACACACACACACACACACACACACACACACACACACACACACACACACACACACACACACACACACACACACACACACACACACACACACACACACACACATACACACACACAGTGAGAGAAAGATAAAGAGAGAGTCTCTCTCAACACTAAAGGAGTATAGCAAACAAGAGATTACCAAGATTGGTGCACCAGAATTGAAGAATTGGGATTCAAGTCAGTGAATGGACAGCGCGTCAGACGAGAGGTTTTCGTGAAAATATACCAATTTGAAGAAAATTTAAAAGACTCACATATTAAAAGACTTACAGAGACTAGCAGACTAGCAGACTTACTTCACCTTTGCTATATAAAGCCGAGATCCGTCAGTTTATATATTCAGAGCATCGTCTAGACCAGGGAGGCAGACCCCCCCCCTCCTAGCTCCACTGGAACCTAATTTGGAGGATCGAACACACATGCTTCTCCAGCTCAGACGGTACAGGGAGTTGGGCTGAACTTTATTAATCTGGTCTGATACTAGATGGCTCCATCCTACGCCTGAGGTGAACTTTGACCTGACTCGCGAGCTTCATCAGACGATGGGGGAAGACGGTGTTTAATAGCCCTCGCTCTCTCTCTCCCTTAGCAACTGTTGTTGACCTTTGTACCTGTTGACCAGACCACACACTAGAAGGTGAAGGGACGACGACGTTTCTGTCCGTCCTGGACGATTCTCAAGTCGATTCTGTACCTGTACGATTCTGTACTTGTACGATTCTGTACCTGTACGATTCTGTACCTGTACGATTCTGTACCTGTACGATTCTGTACTTGTACGATTCTGTACCTGTACGATTCTGTACCTGTACGATTCTGTACCTGTACGATTCTGTAATTGTTTTGTACCTGTTATAAGTTGTGTACTCCTTGATGTGTGATGTGTACTCCTTGTTCCTGTTGCCTGTTTACTGTTTTGCGTGTTATCTATCAATCTACCTGTTATCTATCTATCTATCTTATCTTATCTTATCTATCTATCTATCTATCTATCTATCTATCTATCTGTTATCTACCCGTGTCTATCTAACCATCATTTTAGCGTTGATTTGAGTCACGCTTGACTAAACTAAGGAAATATTTGATCTACGTTAGGTCGCTATACATCATGTATGCAGTGAGGTTGATATCAGGTTGTATATGTATTCGAATGTATAATTTTGCTCAAAGAAGATGGA